CATAGAAATAATATACCAGCTATTTAAGACACGCATTGCATTAGATTAACTGCTTGCTAACTTTCTTACGTGTTAGTTGAAAAAAAATTAAAAACATAGACTAATATATCAAAACCAAAATGTTAGTAGTCAACTAAAACAATAAAAGATAATTGGTAACGGAGCTAAACAACCAAAAACTATAAAAACATATTTGCTTATGTTTTGTTAGACAATTTGCTAATATCAAGATTAGATAAGAAGATGATAGGTTTCTAATAAATTTTTCTTTACATACTGTTTCTGTTAGGAAATGCATGGGACATTTTTTTTCTTTTCCAGAAGGAAAAGAAAAATGGTATTGACCTATTAATAAGATGCACAGGAGTGCCACCCATGTCTAAAAGAATGGGTCACAAGTTAGTCAAAAGGCTTAAAATCCCCCTAGATCCTGTCTTGTAAGATGGGATGACCCTCGAACAAAAAAGAGAGAATTTGGAATCCATGATCTCTAGGCTTGGGAAAAGGGAAACAGACTTGAGACTCCCCTCAAGAGAAATCACTGTCTCTCTCTCTCCAGATGACTCAAAAAGTGGGGAATGGAATGTTAGAAAGCTGCGCTTCATGTAATATAAAATTATTTAATTACACCAACACAATCCAACTACAAGATGGAGTGTTACAAGATGCAGTATTATTATTTGAGCCTACCTGGGGAAGCAACATCAGTAGGCCATTCAGGGCCTTTAACAACCATATATATCTTCCAGGTTCAAGAAGCTGCAAGACCACGTGTAATTCAGAATATAAACAAAATAAACATCATCTCATAATAATAGCGAAAAAAATTTATGCATTTTATGTTAATCTAACACCAATTCATGGTAATTAATGAACGAAGAAACAGCACTTCTCAAAAACTATAAGAATAAGTAGCAAGCTACTATACACTAAATGAACATAGAAAAAGAGATATTTCAACAATTATATGCAATATCACATTAGAGGCACAAAATTACCATCCTACTACAAGGCTTGTAAACAACTCAGAGCGTTACATATCAAGAATGACAGAAAACCAACAAAAGAAAAAAAAAACCAAACCTTGCTATAAGAAAATTGAACATTCAGAATTTAATAGACATAAGCTCTCAACAATACCATGACGAGAAACATGCTACATATTTTCCCAGGTTTCCCCTTCTCTCTAGTGAAAAATAATAATAATAATAATAGTAATAAGCATTTACCTATTGACAATACCTCTTCCAGCAAAGCAGCTGTTTTCAGCCAAACATTTGATATTTTCAACATTTTTTAAGAAAGCTACCTGGCTTCCTTTTTTAATTAAAAAAAAAAACCAACAAAGTGCCCAAGGTACTGAAGCTAAGAACCAAGAATGTAAAGTGTCAAGAGAAAAAGAAACCAAAAGAAAAGGCTGGAGAACGCAAGTACCCAACCCAGAGCTCTGACAAACTACTAATGAAATAAAAGAATATTGGATAGTGATGTCGGACTGAAAAAGTCAAATGACTAGGCAAACTGTAAGGACATCAAAATATTATTTAGTTTCCGATAAGTCATGCACAGATTGACCTTTCAAATAGATAATGAGGCATAAGCCCACAGCACCAGATATACACACCTGCAATCTAAGATATGCAAAGATAGGGGTTTCCAACAAGCGAATCAATTTATCCAGCTGAACTAAGAATTTGACGTTAATATCCTCCTCCACCAAAGACTGAATAACAACACTTGCATGCTGGTACGTCTGTCATGAACAAAAGCAAAATAATTAACAAATTCAAATAATAGGTGAAATTTAAAAAGCAAAAAGAAAAAGAAAATTACAGAAATACCAACTCAACCGAAAGAGGAATATGTTGCCATGGGCAAACACGTGTACATGGCACATGGATATGAAGGAGATAGAGGAAACAAGAGAGATCGCCAGAAATAAGTTTCAGTTATTACCTGAGCTAGTAAGCAAAGACTTATAATTGCCATAGGTGAATGGCACCACGAAGCATACAGTGATACAAATAAGTCTTTTCCAGCAGGATTAACCAATGATTGCTTTAAGAGATCTCGCAGCTCAGATAATTCAGACGAAGTAAGTAAAATCAAATTTAGAGCCTGAAACAAGAATAATATGAAATCACTTCGAGGTAATAGATAACTGATAGGGAAAAGAAAAGGGCAAGCTGCCATGTAGTAAGAAATCTTACTCAAAAAGAAAGAATGAAAACCAGTTTCTAAAGGACCCATCTGGAAAAAAGTGAAGCTCATTTTATAATTTCATGATCGTGCTACTGACTGTACCTTAAGATGTTGAGTTTGTTTTACTTTTCAATAAATCATGGCGAAGCATAAAATGATTCAGTCACTCATGTAGAGCAGCTGTGTAATAGTACTCAGAGAAATGACAGAACCTGAACCATAATAGTCGCAAAATCTAGATCTGCTTCGCCTTCAAGTATTGTTGAGAGTTCTCTGTACACTCTTTCAGCATCTAAGAGGACACAAAGTCGACGGATTATCAAAGCACCACGCCTAAGGAGAAAAGAAAAAGATTACCAAAAGATGAGACATGTTTGAAACCAAAAGTGAAGAGAAGAACATCAAACTACCTAAACTACTTGCTCCATTTCCTTTTTCTACATGGAAAAGATTAGGAAGAGGAAAACTCACTTTTCTAGGAGAGAATTATCAACTCGAAAGTTATGTACTAGGAAGACCACAAGTTGCCGAAAGTGTTGCAGATCTTTTGCTATGCATGCATGAACTTCAAGAACTAGAAGTACCACCTGAGGAAGAATTGAAGTTGCAACACATTATAAAAATCTAAAAGTGAAATAACCTAAAATGCCAACTTGGAGAAAAATTTAGATACTGCAAAAAGTACAATCAAGAATCATATATTTACCTTATCCGAAGGATCTGAAAGTGCTTTCAGAAGCGTATCAAATATATCATTCAGAAAACTCAACACCTGAAGCAAGCAGAAGAAAAAGGTCAACACTCATAAGATAAGCAAGAACTCACACCCCTTCCCTCCTGTAATATTTCCGGTGGATTCCCTCCCTTTGCTATACTGGAATAGAGCACTACTAACAAAACACAGTCTAAATCTTGTTCTTCCTCCAGTACATATAAAATTCTGGCCACAGCACCAAATATTTTTTTAGAAGCACATGACATTGAATTTTTTCTTTTAAGCACAAGACACGAAATCCGTACAGAAATTCCTTCTTCCTAGATAAATTTGATTCACAGTCAACGCACACACACATAGATATATATTTTCTTCATAACAGTCAATAATCGTCATGCAAGTTTGCAACTGTAGGTTCATTTCTTTTTAGTCAGTTTATCTAGCGACTGCATACCTCACATGCAGTGTATAATGCCACAACTAGCTCTGTAACTTAATGGGAATCCTTCACCAATATTTAGGTATAGAAGCATCAATACCTCTCTGTTTAGCATTTAAACTACTTCTACATCAAGATACTCACAACTCTAATAATAAAGGAGCTATCAAAACCATGCATGATTAGGTACTGAATATGCAAGTAAGATGCACTTTACCAACAGGAAGTAGTAACGCAAGACCGTGAATGCTAAATAATCCTTATATTACAGTTGCCTACTACTTTTGCAGCACTGGTAATATAAAGGATAAGGCATTCACCTCCCTGTAACATGGTAGTAAAGAATAAGGGGAACACATGAAAATTGTTTCAAAGTTAGAAAGTCAAGAACCCCAGGAGAAGAGAAAACAGAAATCTACCACCATAAGATGCATGAATATAGAAAATCAAGAATCACGTACATTTAATATACCATACTGGGCATCAAATCCAAAACGTATATTATACTGGAGAGGAAAATAAGCATATTACCAGATTCAGACTAAGTTAGACTTCACCTTGTCTATCATACAAAGGAATTGTGCTGCTCTCTTGTATTGATGTTTTGTTTTCTTTCTTTTTGTTATGTTTATGACATTTTTCTATTTTAGGAGGATATCTGATATCCACGTATTCTAACTTTCTGATTATTTTCTTTCTTTAGATAAGAATAAGGTGGAAGGCATTCCTACCTCACTACGCCGCCTGTTTAAAAGGGTAGAAATCCAATTCAATGCCTCAATTCGGGTAGCCTCCCATTCACTAGATAATTCCCTGATAAGTTAAAAGAACCAGTAATCACTATAAAATCATGGCAATGCCAATAATTTTCTAGTTTTTTTTTTTTTTTTGAAATAACTGACAATAATTTTCTAGTAAGCCGCAATATTGTCTTAAATTACACAAATGGCTACTCCGAGCACTTCTTTTAGCCATTCAATAGGTAGAATCACTATGTTTACCCCTATAAGTTCAAATCTCAACTGACATTTCAAACCTAGCACTTTTTCAAGGTTAAAAAAATTACACCTCCTCGCAATTGAGAGGATGGCTCCAACGTCAAATCCTTCCGCAGGATCTGCCTTGATTAAACGAAGTTCTTCATTAGTTTCGCGAGCAACCTGGTACATGGAAGAAACAATATCAAATTGTAACCATGTTGCATACAGTAAATAGGCCACTTCTATGAATAAAAAAGAATGGCAAAAAGTAACTTACTACTCTGATTTTCTCTTCTTTATCAGATATACATGGTAAGATGGCTCCCAGAATATCAGCATAATAAGGAACAAGTTGGTCCCCACCAAGTTTTACAAACTCATTTATCTGCAAAACAAAGAAACAGGCATGTGATCATACACATAAAAGCTGCCATCATGATGAAGCCAGACAATCTCTGAATCATCTTTTATGAATCACCAGGAAATTAAAGTACAATAATGCTCTCAAGTCTCAACTAACTGATAACAGGAACAGCAATCATGCATCCTAGTTCTGCTTACCCATGTGATAGCTGTTAATCGGGTAAATTCATCAGAAGAGGCTGCCCTCTGCACCAATATTTCAGCCATGCGACCATAATCTACAGACTTCAAGAGTAGCACTGCTCGAGTCAGAAAATTACAAATGAACAAGATTTGTTTTAAAAAACATAAAATCAACCTAAGCACAGCACTGGAGAACTTTTGTTTCTTTATAATGAAATCTAAACCACATGAGACACCAACCAAAATGAAACCAAACTTAATGATATTAGAAGAGCATATGGTACAAATAAATTTAAGACAAAGCCTAAATTAGTAAAGTTTGAAATTTTCGTGTTAGGAGTCTTACTGGAGAATTCTTAATCTCCTGGAGAAACTCTGAAAGGGCCGAATCAGCTTGTTGCCTGATCTCATGACTAGAATCACTTAGCATATTAAATAAGCCTGAAATTCATATCTAGTTTTAGTTCAAAAGGATCAATAACATGGACAATAAAAAAAGGAGCAACTCTACTTTACAACAGA